TATAATTGTACATACTTTAACAATATACTTAATTCATAAATGTTTTAATAATATTTATATTTTTCCACTCACAGAACTATGTTCACAAAATCAACTTGGTTGGTAAGTTATCTTGATGTGCGTATCGCCATCTGAAATATGATATGATTTTTAAATCAACAATTAATTATTTTAAGAAATTTCAATAATTAAATAGACAATGCCCAAACTTAATCATTTCACGTTTAAGCAATTTACATGGTCTCTTTAATCGTTAAAACTAGTTTTTCTTTCACTTTATTCAATTTCATAGCTTATTATATTTAACCCCTTAAATAAAATTTAATTTAATTTAATAATCTAACAACTATAAAATCAAACATAACTTGACAATAAGTAACTTTTTACTTACCTTTCAAACTTGAGGAAATCAAGCCTAATAATGTAGAACGCTTAATTCCTAACACGTTGGCAAAAATTTTCTATTTTTTTTCTTCTTTCTCATTTTTTTTCCTTGCTTCTACCCTTTCTAGCTCTCTCTCTCTTATATCATATGATGAGAAACGGATATTAATTCACCTGCCACCCATCCAACTCTCCCTCACTTGTGTGTGTGTCATAAGTAAAAAAAAAAAAAAAAGGAAGGGATATTAGTTAATCACTTGCCACTTGTACTCCCCAAACCCTTTTTTTACAATGGAAGTCCATCTTCTTCAATTAAATATAATATTCAGTCAGTCAACTTCTATTAATAGAAAACTTCCATTAATAGAAAAGTAAATCCTCAAAATTAAATTTCATCCATCTTAAACCTTTAAATATTGTCAATTTGTAAAATAAACTCTCAAAAATAATTTTGTCAATTCAAGTCCCACTAAAATGATTTACTTCATTTAAGTCCTTATTTGACTTTAATTTTAACTAGTCAAACATTCGATTTTGAATAAATAATACTGACCTTTGACAATACGAAATGGATGTAACAGAGGGTGTCTTGCCAAAGTGGTCTTTCCAACACCAAAGAAGGTAAGGATAGGGCCAAAGACATTATATTGCATCTTCATTGGCTATGCACACAATAGTAGTGCCTATCGATTTCTTGTGTATGACTCTAAAATCTCAAACATACACAAAAACATGATATTGGAATCAAGAAATACTTTATTCTTTGAACATATATTTTCGTACAAGTCCAAAGAGGAAGCAAGATTCTCCAAACGAACATATGAGACTATGACTGAAAATAGTCATGAAAAAGAACTAGAAGAGGATATTGAGGTTAGATATAGCAAACGGGAAAGGACAGAAAAGTCGTATGGTCCTGATTTTCTGACCTATATGCTAGAAAGTGAACCTCAAAGTTATCAAGAGGTTGTGAATTCCTCGAAAGGACCTCAATGGAAGGAGGCCATTAAAAGTGAGATAGATTCCATACTGTAGAATCATACATGGAAGCAAGTTGGTCTTCCTCAAGAAAGTAAACCACTAGACTATAAATGAATTTTCAAAAGGAAAATGAGAGTAGATGGAACTATCGAAAAGTATAAGGCCAGATTAGTAATAAAAGGTTACAAATAAAGGGAAGGCCTTGATTAGTTTGATACATATTCTCCAGTGACGAGAATAACATCTATTAGGTTGATACTTGCGATTGTCGCTTTACGAAATCTTGAAGTATATCAAATGGATGTTAAAACTGTCTTTCTAAATGGAGATTTAGAAAAAGAAATTTATATGGAACAACTCAAGGGATTTTCGTCATCAGAGCAGGAAAAGAAAGTTTGTAAATTGGTGAAATCACTATACAGTTTGAAACAAGTACCCAAACAATGGCATAAAAAAATTGATAATGTCATGATAGAGAGTGGATTTAAAATCAATGAGTGTGACAAATATATTTACGTCAAAGACACTAAAGATGGTTATGTCATTTTATGTCTTTACGTTGACGACATGCTTATTGTTAATAGTGACAATAAGATGACTGAATCCACTAAAAATATGTTGAATTCGAGGTTTGACATGAAATATATGGTTTAGCTGATGTTATACTTGGAGTAAAAATCTCAAAAACATTAGATGGGCTTTTTCTAAGTCAGTCACATTATATGGACAAAATTTTGAAAAAGTTTAATAAGGATAGATACTGTCTTGGTTAGAACACCAATAGATATAAGTCAACACCTATTCAAAAACAAAGGTGAAAGTGTCTCTCAAGCAGAATACTCGAGAGTTATTGAAAGTATAATGTACTTAATGAGTTGTACAATACCAGATATAGCCTACACAGTCAGTAAATTGAGTAGATACAAGAGTAATCCAGGAGCTGATCACCGGAAAGGAATAGTAAGAGTACTAAGGTACTTAATATACTCGTGATTATGGACTATATTATACCAGATATCCGATGGTCATTGAAGGATACAATGATGTTAATTAGATATCTGATATAAAAGACTCAAAGTCCGCCAGTGGATTTGTGTTCACATTGGGAGGTGCTGCCATATCGTGGAAATCCTTTAAGCAAACCATCGTTTACATAAACAGCAAAACAGTTCAAGGATAACACGTCCACTGGTCAGCTAGTAAAGTAAATATACTTTTACAAGGGAAGGTTCAAAGGGTGATATCCATCTATCCTATGCAGGCTTCAACCATTGAACTTTATTACCTAGTCTTGTGTCTCACGATCACCAAGTCTCGTGTCTCACGGTTTCATGTCTCTCCCAATTTTCACTCATGTGGAGGATTATTGGAAAAAATGAGCAAATGCTCACTTTTGGCAAAATTTTAGGCGGGACCCGTTGGTCCAATTTGGAAGATCAAAGTGGATTCGTATTCTCCTCCGTGACAGCATCAAAATCATATATTTATTTGCCAAAAATGAAGTTTGAGTGAATGAGAAATTGAAGCTCAAAAATGACCATTAGAAGATAGTTATGTGGAAAAAAATTGAAGTTAATCCCACATAGGAAAAATATGAAAGCAAGAACCACTTTAAATATAGCTATACATTGGAAATGTGTAATCATGTGTAGTATAGAACTCTCTCCACGTGTGCGCGCAGGAGGGTGTAAATCTCGGACCAAAATTGCCTTCGAACCATGAACTTATGGGCGGGCGCGACCTGCGTACACGAATGTCGAACCGAATGAAGCAAAAATTGACCCCTTTGAAGAGCCCACGTTTTGCAATTTTTTTTCTTGCTTTCTCCACTGACTTTTGAGTTTCTGAAACTCCAAAAACTGATATAACTCCAATGGTTAATGAACAAATTAAGTCTATATAATTGAACTCAGTTTTCAGCAATTTACACAGATGAAAATCTTCCTCTCTGCATCTGTACCTTTTTTCAGTAGTTCTTCCTATATACGGTATTTGTCTAGTAAGGTCGTGGTGATATTGTTCAGGCGCTGTATCAGTTCGTCGGAGTAGTTTATGTGGTGCTTAGATACTACAAGTTTTACCATTGTATCCTGGAAAACAGACACTCGGATTAGACCTCTAGCACTTACGGTAAGGGAACAAATCTGTTTTAAGGAAACTGTGCTCGCACAGGCCTCGGGTTGAAATTTTATTTATCTTCTACACTTTATTCTTGCAAGTTATTTATTTATTTAGCAATTTACACGGTTGCAATTTACTAGATTCATATATTTTGCAGTTTACTTGTTTTTATATTTATGTTAGAAATAATATATATATATATATATATGCAATTCGGTATATGTATGTTACATATGCGGTATTTATATTGAAAAAAAAATTTGTGTTATTTTAATAAAAATAGTTTGTGCTAATTTTATGCATATATGGTGAACTTCGCTGCCAAATACAGTGAGCTGTCATATACGGTGAGCTGTCAAATACGGTAAGTTGAAAATACGGTAAGGTGCAAATACGATAAGTTGCATGTAAATATGGTAAGCTGCATATACGGTATATTGCATATACAGTATACTTAAAATAGGTATCTAAACTACATATACGGTATGCCACTACATTCCAACTATAATTTCTAGCTGAGGGATGCAGATTCGGGGTAAATTTTGAAAACGGTAGTTGAAAATTTTTGTTTAGTGCTTCAATAGGAAGTTTTAAGGTTTTGGGTAGATTAGAATGATTGAGGGGTAAATCTTGGATGAAAATGGGGATTTGAGAGAAATTGATAGGCTTGAGATTGAACAAATTTGGTAATTGAATCTTCCATAAAATTAGGGGTGAAAATATAGAGGCATGCGCAGAGATTATGAACAACACAAAACAAAAGGTTTCAAATTGGTTGGAAATGAACATGGTTTTCAATTTCTAAAATGGGATTACGGTCATCGGCCTAAATATTCTAATTTTATCGAAGTCAAACTTTTGATTGGATTATAATTATAATACAAAATTAGAGGTGTCAAAATAGATGGGTGAGGCTGGAGCGATGTGCCACAATCAAATTCATTTAAATTAGATCATCTAAAAATATGGTTCGTGCCTACGCCGTCATTTTTTTTTATCCTTTTATCCTTTTTTTTTTGTTTTTAAGAATTTAATGCTATTTATATTATATCTTAATTGAAAAAAAAAAGATTGCGAGAGACATGATTGTGTGAAAAATGTAAAAGAAAATGAGTGTTTAAAAAATAAAACTAATAATAGAATATAGAGAAAAGAAAAACTAAGAAAGAGTTTAATTTATATACCGAGCCAGATAATAAGGCCCAAGGTCTTGCGGGTCGAAATCGTCGAGATCACCTATTTAGGAGGTTTTAGTAACTGAGATTTTAGGGTTAAAATTTACTTATACTTGATTCCAATTTCCAAATAAATGAAGGATTTCTCTAAAGTAATGATATACTAATCAGAATAGAGTCCTAATGAAGTATTATGTTCATGCACGAAAAATTTATCAACTTCAATTACCCTTTGCATGAGTAAAATTCCAAAACTTCAACTTTTATTTGAATTTTTATTTTTTTTATTACTAAACCTTCAATTTTGATTTCTGTTAGGGAAAAAAAAACGCTATTTTGGGGACGAGATTTTATTTGAGTTTTGTTCATAACAATGGAAAAGTGATCTCATCAGCAGCCCGAATCAGGTTCACTCTTTTTCATTGCCTCATTGACATTGCATTTTAGTATTTTGAAGATATATATGATTTTAGGTTGAATTATTGTTATAACTGTTTTTGAATTTGTAAATTGATTGAATGTGTTATAAATGAAAATTTATTTACGAGAATGTAATTATGAATTGATTTGTTTAAATAGTTCGTGTTTTATAAATAATCATCCGAAATTACATATTTACAATGATTGTTTTGTGTATAAGGGTTTATTTATTTATTTTTATTTTTGTGTGTGTGTGTGTGAATTTTTAGTGGTTTTACATTTTAATTTACAATGAAAAATTTGTTAATTTTGGAATTGTGATTTCAGGGTTTATGATCTGCCATTTTTCTTGCTGTTTCTTCATCAATTTTTCTTCTGAAAATAAGAAAGAACAAATTATAAGTACTTGCACCATATCAGAATGAAATTTCCTGATCATCCACTACCGAATCCGCCGTTTATGGGCCGTACAGGTGGAGATGGCGGAGGCTTTTTTCCTCCACCTCCAATTAACCATCCGCGGCCGGAGTCATCAATTTCTTCATATGAGCATCCTCCTCCATTCAAGAGACTCAAGATGTCTTCAGATAACATACCAAATTCTGTACCTCTCCTAAATCCAAAGGTGAACCCACCAATTCATCCGGGAAGTAAAGGAATAACCAATATATTCTATAAGACGCGAATGTGCTTGAAATTCTTGGAAGGCAACTGTTTGAATGGGGAGCATTGTACATTTGCCCATGGTGTTGAAGATGTACGAAAACCCCCTCCCAATTGGAAGGAACTTGTTCAGAAAAAAGATAAACGGGTGGGAAGCTGGAGCGATGAGCAGAGAATGGTACATGGAATGAAAAATTGCAGGAAGTTTTACAATGGAGAAGACTGTCCATATGGAGAGAACTGCAACTTCCTTCATGAATATCCAACTGTAGAGACTCATATTTCGAGGCAGAGGAAGAGTTCTGCAATAAGCATCGGAGCCACAGGGTCGATTAATGTGAACACAAGTGTATCTCATCAACCCGAGTCTCAGAAACATGTTGACTCCGTCGTGGATGCTTCCCGATCAAACACTGTGTATTGGAAGACCATAATATGCAATAAATGGGCGAGAGGTCAATGCCCATTTGGAGAAAGATGTTGTTACGCTCATGGACATTCAGGTACATTCAAAGCAACAAATAGCAAATATTTATTTCTTGGCTTAGTTAATGCTAGATTCGCTTGGTAAGAACTGAAAGGGGCAAGGTCCCTGGTGATGAAAGCCAGCGCGATTAAAAGTAACTTCTAAAAAGGCTTGAAAAATGCATTGTGAAATGAATAATATAAAAGTAGCGTTTAAGCTTGGATTTTGCTTGTTGTACTCCTCCTGAGCACGCACAAGGTGTAGGATTTTTTTTTTGAATTTTTTATCAGGTGGGTTCCACATTGGGGGCCTACCAATTATGTGTGACGTTCTGAAGGGATTTCTAAAGGTGTTTTGTGAAACTCCTTCTGTACACCAAGCAAAATCCTTTAAGCTTGCCAAACATTTGGGATTCACAGAGTTACCTCAATGCAAGTTTAAGGTGGGCCTACTAAAAAAGTACATACTTCTAGGTTAGCTAATCCCCTGTATTGCTTCTCTAATTCTTTAACAGTTGGCCTTTTTCCAGTTATTGAAGAGTTAGTGAATGAGTTATGTGAGGCAAAGGCATTTTCAAGATAGAATGAAGCTCTATGTTGTCGTGACCATGTCGTGTTGATTTATTGTTTTCTCATGAGTGATGGCTCATTTTCTGTATATTTCTAGAATGTTAGTATCATATATACATTTAGATATTGTTCCTTTATACACCAGTTTCTTAGATAATTTTTCATTTTATCAGTTTCTCGACTCATGCGCTTACATTTTTTACAGAGTTGCAATGGCCTGCTGCTCATGCGGAGCCAGAACCAACACTGAATTCTCATCAGATTCCAGCAAAGCCTCTATCTACTCCTGCAATTGATTCATCTCCTGCAACTAAGTTGATTAATTTCCCTAAAGAAAAGAACGAATCAGATGAGAATAACTCAAAAAAGTGGAAGTTAAACAGGAGGGTCAATGGAATTTATGGAGATTGGTTGGATGATCTATCACCTCCTCGCTGCTAGTAGCCAAGAAGAGATAGGAGCTTTGACATCATGATTGTGAATTAATAATATCCCGAACCCGGTAAAGGTGGAAGTTTATGGTCTTTCAAGCGTTCATCTCAACTTTTTTTCCCCTTTCTACTTAATTTTGTATTATTTGTGACATAAAATTCTTTATCACCCCCTTCACCAACATAACTCAATTTAATATTTTACAATTAGATTTTCTTTGTTAATGATTCAGATTATGGTAGCTATAGATGATCCC